TCAAACCATACACCACACACTGCAACAAGTCGGTTTGCATGGCCGTCGTCCCAGAAGGAAGCCTCTTCTAAAGCTGGCTCACAAGAAAGCCCGCAAACAGTTTGCTGAAGACAACCTGTCCAAGAGCATGAATTACTGGAACCATGTCCTGTGGTCGGATGAGACTAAGATAAACTTGTTTGGCTCAGATGGTGTCCAGCATGTGTGGCGACGCCCTGGATAGGAGTACCAAGGAAATTGTGTCTTGCCTATAGTCAAGCATGGTGGTGGTAGGTGCATGATGGAATTTGATTATCATAAAAGCTTAACAAGTATGAAAGATCACCCACAAGATACACGGCCATTTTAACATGTTTTTTAAACACTTTTCAGCAGACCAAAACATAAGCTATGCTTAAAACGTTGGAGTCTACATTTTCATTCCTTCCACGAACCACCAAATCGTATGCACAGGATTCTCGGATATATTATACAGCAAATGATACTGTTGCAGCTGAAGGCATGTCATACAAGAACACTGGATTCGGACATGTCTTGATGTCTTCCTACCTCCGTATGCTGCATTTTTCAGCTCTCGGAGAGCCAAAGTTGAACGTACCCACTTGAACCTTCACAAATTATTGCTTAGGGTGCACATTCCTCTGCTGAGTCCCAATGAGGGGCGTCCGGAGTAAAAAAAGAAAGACAGAAAGGTGAGAAAAACTGACATTACAGGGCCACAATTTGCAGTAAATCATTGCCTAAATTCCAACAGATATTGGTGTAACAGATAACACCGCCTTCATTTTCAGCAAGACTCTTTGTCGGAATTGAGACTCCAGTAACGAACAGTGCCAGTGGACTCCAGACGGGCACTCTCTCCCCCCTCGGGTTTGCAATAGGAAAGGAGTGTTATTAATTAAGGATACGAAGCAGATTTTGACAAGGGTTCCCGAGTGGCAAGCGGTGTGGATTCTTGGCGTTGACCTGGCCCAGCGGGGGTAGCAAGCGCCTGTTTGAGGAAGGGGGTGGAGGAGGGTTGGGTTGGCTCCATGCTGGCAGCCAGGCCTTCCACGTCTGCGTTGGTGCTTTGAAGTGTCACCTTGAGAGAAGAGCCAGTGGCCGGGTAGTGGAGGGAGCAGGAGCAATGAAAGAAGTGGCACCGCTTGCGTTGCCAGACACGGCGCTTTTAATATTACATGGGCTCCCGTCCATCTCTCTACACATGCAGGATATTGCTTCTGCTTGGATTTATTCAGAAAGTGGATCTTTCTCTGCTCCTTTTCCTGCTGTGGTTCAACACCTGTGCAGGTTTTAGCCGGGCATCTGCACTCAAGTGTGGTGTGTCAGGTTCTCTGTAACTTTCGATGAAAAGACATTAGGTGTCTTTTCAGAGTAGTTAGTCAAAGTGAGAGCGATGTTTCAATCACAGCAGGTGTTTGAACAACGATGCTTTAATGGCGAACTGAAAGGTTCAATTAAGATGGGTGGGCAGTCACAAGTCACATCATGCCATCATCCCATGTGTGTATTGCGATAATGCTCATTACACAGCTTCTCATTAAAAAAAAAAAAATATGAGGGCATTAAATGATGATTTTAGTTGAAATTATTTTATATTCTTATCTGGATATTACCTTAAAGCTTCCGCTAAGGAATGAAGTCCTACAAAAGGTATAGTCTGAGAAAAACATTTGTCCTTGCAAAAAACGAACACTGCTACAATATTAATACTAGTTACCTGAGATTATCCACTACATTAGGTCACTATTTGTATAAAACAAGCGAGAGCAAGAGTGACACGAGGGAGGTGGAAGTAGCGCCAATTTTAGTTACCTGGAGGAGCTTGCGCTGTGCCGCCTAGCTATGGGAAAATTACCGCTGAATGCCGCGATTGGCCAATCAGAATCGAGTATTCCAGAAAGCAGCGGAAATGTCTGTCGAGATGTGTGAACCTGAACCGTCACTTTAAAACCAGGCAGATTTCTATTGGTCAATGAGGCAAATCCACGTGACCAATTTGAACTACAAAATCACGGGGAAATCTTTCGCCCCAAACAGAGTATAGAAGACCAATGGCTGAATTGAAATGATTTTCGCCGTGAAAATTCGACAAACAACAGGCCTAAACAAAATCACATAATGCACAATGTAGGCTAATTAAAATATAAAAGGTAGGCTAGCTAAGCTAGAATTCTGTCCATAATTACATATATCTGCAAAAAGAGTCTGGTGATTTGCGGGTGTTTGAAACAGGAGAAAGGTATTTTGAAAAGACTTTTCACAGCAGTCCCAGATCATAAATAGCAGCTTTAACACTCCTGATTAGTTCTGACATCCGCAGCCTTTTATCTCTCCCTCCATCTTGCTTTTTTTTAAAACTCAGATTAACCCAAATGGGCATCCTTTAATGGCCCCTTTTTTAGAAAAGCCGAAAGAGGATGATAATTAAAATAATTAAACCACTGGGATTGGCGCGCGCATCCCTTGTTCTCTCTCTCCCTTTCCCCTTTTGCTCTCTTTTCCTTTCTTCTCTCCTTTTTAAGTTGAGTCTACTTGGCTAACAGATTCAGAAGAGAGGAAAACAAACCACCTAGGTTAATTGAATTTATTCTCATCTCAAAGGTCCAACTACGCATAGTAAAGCAAGCTTTCCCCCCCCCTCCTGTGAAACCGGATGTAGAGGTGTGTGTGTGTGTGTGTCAGCTGTCTAAATGTGATTGCAGGGTTGGGCTCATGGATAAACGCTCATATTCATTCCATTTCTGTGCACTTTGCGTTTAGCTAAACAAAACAAAAAGTATCCTTTTTAACAATTATTTATTCATGGACTTTTAAGCTATTAATGAGGACAAATGAAGTCGTTTTTAGGAGTGTCAGTATGAAATATGCTTACCAAAATGATCTTGTTTAGCATTTCTGCTTCAGCATGGGTCCATGTGGAATAAACGCAAACATTTAAAAATAACCGGGATTTTTGGATGCTGGAAAATGAGCATGAAAAGCATTAAAATAATATATTAAGATTTTTAAATCACACTGAGACACTTTAGTTCCTGGACAGATAAGGGGGAAACACGTTGCCATGCTGCAAAAATAATAACTAATCGTGTTAATTGTAATTAGTTTTGCCTTAACTGGGCTTCTAATTACACCCAAGACCTAGATACTACAATACTGAAAGTAGGCTATTTCACACATTTTCACAGTTGGATGCAGTTATCCTCTAATTATAATTTTCAAATGCATGAAAAAAAATAAAGACGAACCCTTGATACCAGGAATCTACAGCACTTTCAAGAGAAAACGGAGAAATAATGAAATAAAAATAAGACTCTTTATAGCCCAATCATGACTGCATGGCACTGCTTTAACTCCACTGCTTGCCTCCTCCTGTGTCCTGACAATTTCACTGGGTTGCATTTCAAGTTGGCAAAGAGAGAAATCCCTTTGCTGTGAATACTTAAGATTTATACTTAAAATTTCATACAATCTTTGAAAACATTGAGGAGCAATTTCATATTTGCACTGACATTTAATTTCTCAAGTAGATTCTGAAATCACAAATTGGTATGGATTCCCTCTGCGTCCAATTATTCTGCATCAGTTTCCCTGACCCCTCAGAGTACTGCTAAATTAAACAAGATTTTTTTTTTTTGACTCAGTCATGAAATAGTCCTACATATGCACACGTTTGATAAACTAATCTTACTTCCTCAGTTGTAGCAGCTCTCGTCGTGTTTCGCTCTGCCACTGAATTTCAACAAGACGCGCAGAGAGGGAATAATTGCACCACATGTGCCATATGTTTAGGTCACTCACTATCTAAATAAAATATAAGCTGTTTGAACTCCATTCGGTTCACAGACTTCTCGGGTATATAATATTTTGACATCGAGCTTAGGTGTATGAAAATGACTTATTTTGTAGATAATTAATTAAAATAAAAAAGCTGGTGAGATATAAAAAAAAAAAAAAAAATCAACCCTATTTGCTGGTCTAAAATGGCAAAGATAGATTAGTAGTGTCATCAGCTAGTTTTCCCAGGCTGACCTGTTGTAATGTACTCAGAGCACTTTATAAACCGCAACCAACTCACCAGACCAGCTAAAACCAGCAAGCTGCTGTACACCGTTTTCCCCCCTCAATTAGGACATCGACTGAATCTTACAGAACTGCACGTTTTTTCACAGGGAAGCGCAGAAACTTGAATGCAATGTATCGTTTGACCTCAAATCAACGGCCATGCTAATCTGTATTGATATGCTTTGAGCCATAACGTTCGGGAGAGTCAATAGCGATTCGACAGCACCTGTTGATTGATGATTGATAATCAAGAGCAACAGTGCCCTCTAGTGGTCGATCATGCGATTTTGTAAAACAATAAATATTGGTCATTTGGCCTTTTTTGGAAATAATAATAATAATAATTCAAATGTCTTCAGGTGGGAGAGAGAATGTTAAAATGATGATTCTAAACGTATTTGGAACTTGAAGAGAAAATTCATCCAAAAATTAACAATTCACTCACCTTCATGTCATTTACAACCTATGTTTTTCATCTGTGGAACACAAAAGGAGAATTTTTTTTCCACAGACAATAGTGGCTCAACTCGTATATGAAGTATTCTAACTCCTGTAAGAAAAAGAAATACATTTAGCTTGTTAGGCTTTATATATAATATGTTATTTTAATATGCTGCATTGAACTGTAACTAATGAAAAATAAAAAAAAATTAAATAGAAAGCTTGAAACTGAAATGGAATGAAATTCATACATATTAAGTGACTTAAGTGTGCAGAAATAATTATTATATACCTAAAAAACTCAAATGGTTATTGTTTGTCAACAATATTACCCATTTAAATCAGCTTCAAATAATTACGGCTGGCAGCCAAGGAAGTGATGTTTTCTTGCCAGCGTAGATTGCAGGCCTCAAATTGTGTTTCATTTCCATTCCAGACATCAAAGCGAAATTAATCAAGGAGGAAAATAACCAAGACAACCCCAAATCTGTAGTGCAAAACATTGAAGACGATTTTATTTTTGTCATTCACAGTTAACACAAGCAACTGCTTTAAGAACCTTTTCCAAACGACCCTGCCTTTCCTCCCCCAACAAACCCAAGAGCTTTCATCTCCAGCAAAGGAGCTCGAATTCATACGTTCCTTTCATTCCACGCTGATTGTACCTTGTATCTTGTTAAGTCATAGTTCCTGCTGTTGGCATTAAAAAAAGAATTGTTGTACATGCTCTAGATAGCAAGGCAGAAGGAACAGCAGAGACTTCAAGGGGACAACAGGATTTGGGAACAATTTGAGTATGACCACCCCATCCGCAATTCCTAAATGACGTCTGACTATCAACATGGCCATTTTGTAGAAATTTGGAGATATTTTACACCGTCTACTTGGCATCGTACAGCTCTCATTGCTACGGTCCACATACTCTCAGCTCGACAAAATCAAGTCTTATATTTACCCCCTCAAACTGATATGTGGTAGTCTAAGAATATATGTGCTTGAATAATAGAACAAAAACCAGTACATTTAAGCTCTACAGAATACTGTCAGTGTCTTATTGAGTATTTGGCACCGAGAAAGCAAACTTAGTAATAATATCCATTGAAGTGCGTAAAAGTGAGAGGGTAAAAGACAGATCATCCATACCATTATCAGTTACCTACTGAGTTTTGAGCAAATATGATGAAGGTTAGCATCGTCAAAGCGAATTACTTTACTTATGTCTGACTTATTTATTAGACTTATTTATTATTAGGATAAGGCTTCAAAATGGCCACTAGATCATCTAGATTTTACTTACGATGTTTTATAGAGATTACTGAAGGATAGGATTCATAGGTTTGACTAGACTTGGGTAATGATCAGGAATCTATGGCTGTTGTTTGTTTACGTTGCTTTATAACTTTTAAAAGCACTGGTAATACTTGAAAAGCTAAAGAGAAGAGGACAAAAAAATAAATAATTAAAAAAATATAAAAAACATGTCGAACCTTCCTCTCGTTGTGGCTGTATCATTTCTTGGATCCAGATTTAGTCTAGTCCAAGACTGTAACGGATTTTTTCCGTAATCAGTAACAACTTACAGTGCAGTTTAACCCAGAATCAAGTCTGGGATACAGGCCATCACTTTCAACATACACACACACACAAACAGACATTTTACACATACACACACCAGAAACATAGTAAAGATAAACATGATTTGAGCACATGAAAATGCACCTGACATGTCTGAAAGGTTAAACCTGATGGTTTTAAAAGAAACACTGACTCCTGCTTGGCACAAGACAACCATCCAACCGACCATCCACCTCCTGGCATCCAAGCACACACTTCAGCTCTGTGCGGGTGAGCTGTGAGGGTGTAAGCACTGTACCATTACTACAAATTAATCAACTTATATTGCTTCTAACAGCCTAAATGCAAAGTTTCCACGTGCTGCAACAGTTACTTGGTTAAAGGGAGCAGATAAATTAGCAAAAAACAACAAATAAAAGATGCAGCGGGGACATTTCTGGAGAACAACGCAGTGGGATTACTAAAAGACATTTTGTGACCACTTCTATATATGTCGGTATAGTCTATTCTATCCACTTGTCCCATCTTAGTGAGGGTTTTACTGATTTATTAGCTCCAAATCCTGTTGTCGGCTTGTGGAAATGGGACAGATAACACTGAAAATTGAAGGAGTCTTGCCTTACGGTCTAATAATCTAAATTCGCACATCTCTCCATCCTCTACCTCTCTCTCTTTCACCATTTTTCCATAACTTTAACTGTGCTCCTGATGACTTTCGTTATAGTCCATGATCCTTAACGGTTGCTGCCTGGGCCTCTCTGGGCATCTTGAGCCGAACGTGTCTCGGTTTTTGGCTCTCTGAGCATCAGGTTGGGTTTCTTTAGCAGATGTGATGAGTGTGAAGCTCTGCGCAGCAGTGGAGCTGGATGTACTCTTCGCTGTCGGCTCCACGCAGAGCTCAGTTTTCAGGCCCTGTGATAGGCCAGTGAGACGCGGAGGCGGGGCTTCATCCTCATCGCACTGGCTCTCGCTTTTGTTGCGGAATAGCTCTCTTGCACGCATACCCAGAAAGCTCTTGGCACTGGGGTAGGAGCCTACAGTGAGTGGGGTGTCAGAAGGTACCAAAGGTCCTGGGGGTCCCAGCGGGGAATGAGGACGGTGAGGGGGCGGTTCCACTAGAAAAGGTGGGGGAGTGTCTCGATTGCCGTTTACGGAGTTGGCCGGGGAAGAGCTGGCCATGGGCTGCGCTGGCGATAAATTGCTGCCATTGCCACGTGGAGACTGAGGTGACTTGCTGTCTTCTTTGGTGGCTGTTTTTACTGCACCATCCACCACTATGACACTGTGACACCAGAAACAACCAGAAAAAAAGTCACAATCGTAAGAACTTTATGTAAAAAAAAAAAAAAAGAGAGAGAAGAATGCAACAGAATGCATGATAATTATGTAATCCAAAAACAGACCCATTTATAACAGGCCACAAAAACAGGAAACAAATTAGTGTCCTATTTTTTATTTATTTATTTATTTTTTAAGTAATTAAGGCAAAAATGCAACAAGTTATTTGGAGAGAGAATTATTAGATGTTAGTCATATAACTATTACATAAAATTTACATAACCTGAAAAACAGCTAGTTTAAAAGCATGCAATATTTGAATGACAGCTTCATTTAAGCTAAATCGTACACATATACAGCACCAGTTAAAATATTTAACATTTAAATTTGTTAATTTCAAATCATAGTGTTTCCAAACTTTTGATAAATCGCACAATTTTTTTTTAGCAAAATGTATATTTTACTCAGAATTATTGCGCTCCTATTTGATGGCACTCTTGTCTGTTTAGCGTGCATGCGCGCAGATGCGCTCGTTGCTCTCACGTGCCTCGCCCACTCCTGACAGCAAAATGGATATGTTTGCATGACTTTCTAACATTTACAGATGAAAAATATACCTGTGACATGTCAGTTATGCACTGAGGAAAACACAACGTCTCAAATGCATTAAACAGCACAGATATATTCGCTGTTTGTCATTGTGGATCGATTTGATCCATGATCGACATTAAAGGTCCCCTGAAATGCTTAGAAACACGCAGCGTTACTCTGTGTTGACGTCATTTTAACTGAAACAGGAAGACAGGGCGGGA